CTCTTTCCCAATCATACTCAGCGTCTGCTGGGGCTTGGCCACGCCCCCGTCAGCTCAGCTCAGTTTCCCTCCAGTCATCTGGCCACTGCTGAACAGAAAGGAGGTCTTGCTTTAGCACCCCCCCAGCTTCTGACCTGAGCCTCTGCAGGCATGTGGCTGCATTTCCAGAATCAAAAGTGAATGTTTGTTCACTTGTTTCTCGGTTCAATCTATGCAGGTTAGATTAACCCTCGAAGAATGAATCGATTAAAGTTTGGGCTTTTTTGTATGTCTGTGCTTACCCTTAGTGTTCAGATTCAACCTGACTTGGAGGAAAGACCATTTATTTGAAAGTATTTAGTCAGTGTCAGTGCAGTTCAGATCTACCAAGAGTTAAAAAAAATTGAGAGATGTGATACTTAACTTATACTCTTAACATGCTACCATATGGATAGGGTTGTTTCAGTCTGTCTTGTATTTGAGGTTTGGTAATTATTTTTGGTAGTATGTAAACTGTGTATTTCTGCTATTTGCTAAAAGGATTCATAGGAAAGAGAGAGTTCCTTGGACTTCTATGAGGCCTAGTATCTATGGCGTGTCTAGTGATTAGAAGTATGTGCCTTCATTATTTTGTGATGGGTAGTGCCATATATGAATGACAATTTTAAATAACAAAAATGGATTAATTTTCCTTGTGTTTGAATTTTATATTTGGGTTAATGTCATGGCTGCTCTGTTTTGTTTAGCTGCCTTTAAAACACCAGCTAATTTTAATAAAAATATTTTCAATTTGCTAAATAATCACGTAGAAACATGTAAATTCCATACTGTATAGGATCTGGATGAGCAAATAAATATACCAACCCTTTCAGTTAACTTTTTCTTTGATTTGGGTTTTTTTTTTTAAACATAAGTTCAGAGTGTCTGATCATGAGAACTTTTGGAATTCGAGAGAGAACTTGTCTGGTTTATTGTCTCAACTGCAAAAAAGCAAACAGAAAAAAGCATCAACACCCCCCCCCCCCCCCCCCCCCCTCCAAAAAAAACCCAACAAAAAACAAACATTGCAGCAAAGGCTGCTTTAGTAATAGTCTGATGTTCGGTTGGGGTGGGGAAGAATATTAAGGTTGTGTCTTTGTATGGTGTTGTTTGGACTTCTGCATTACTACAAATAAAAAGTTATTGTTATATGAGAGAATTAAGGACACTGCTGATATTTGGCAAAATTAAATTTTTAAAAAAGAAAATTAGAAATTTTTATATGGTGACAGGAGGAAAGAGTTCCAAGAAAACAATTAATGATTATTTGTATTCTTCTGCAGTGTTTGTAAACCAGATTCTGTAATAGTAAATTCCTGAAATTGAAACAATTAATTTTTATTTTTCAAGCTTAAAGAAATGCACAATGTGAATGAAGCATAATGGCCAAAATTGTATAAATTGTTCTTTCCTTTAAAAAAGACATTTATTAAGATCTGTAAATTAATTTTACAGTAAATTTAAATTGAAACTATAATTTTTAATGGAAGGCAATTGATCTGTTTGGTTAACAGTAAACACTGAAATAGATGCAGTGTTTTAAATATACACAGCCCCTTTGGGCACTAGGCTCCCTTTGCCTGGTATACATGGAAGAACCAGGGCCTTGGACTATATTCCTGTGAGTAGAATAAATGTGTGTATGTTTGAGTATCTTCAAAGCCCTCTTAAAATTTAGAAATACCTATTTATCGTAAATCAGTGAATAAGGCTGTTGCTTTTTCTCAGCGGATGCTGCCTTTTAATGATGATTTCCAGCAGAGATGCAGTCTGATGCAGAGTAGGATTGAAAGAGTCAGCTTTACAATTGCAAAGCATTTGAAAATGGAAAGTTTCAGAGTTGTAAGGTAAGTTGTACAATTTTTCAAAAAAAAATTTTTTGGATATTAACGTTTTTGTTTAAGGTTTTTGATTAATTTCCTGTTAAATTAATCAAAAACTTTTTTAATAACTGAAATTGCCTTACAACAGTGGTGAAATTAAAATTTCATACACCTTCAAATAATGAAGCTGATTATTTCTGTCATACTCTGCATCATCTGTCTGAGGAGGGCAACTTCATATTTGGTAATTATTTTAAATAAGAAAAAGCTAAAAAGTTATGGTTTAAAAAACAGATTTTAAAAATAGGATTTATATATTTATAGTTCAGCAAGAAAATGAGAATTGGGAGAGGAAAAACAAGGGTTTCCATCTCTTACCAGCTGAGTTAATCCTAGAACAGCTTTGTGTAATACTGTTAAACCATTTTTCTTGTGATTTCCATACAGATAAGGTAATGCATGATATACCACATTTTCATCAATGCAGTTAACTTGTGACCTTTGTATATCAGAGTTATCCATATTATTTATTTTCTTTTAGTTTATGAAATATTAAAATAAACCAAGAAAGGGGAGCTTTTAGGCTCCCAACTATTATGATGTCATATTTTGAGATGCTTCCTAATTTTATTCCAATAATCTATTTGTTTAGGAAGGTGGGGTTTTTACATTTGGAGCTGGAGGCTATGGTCAGTTGGGTCATAACTCTACCAGCCATGAGATAAACCCAAGAAAAGTTTTTGAACTTATGGGAAGTATAGTCACGCAAATTGCCTGTGGAAGGTAGGTCCATTCTGCAGTAGAGGCATGAATTTCACAAGTGTCCTGTACCAAGCCCTATGTATGTTTTTATAATGAAATATCAGAACTTTGACTCTAACAGGTAAGGTATGATGACAGTAATTTTAGAAACTTAAAGTACTTTTTTGTTTAGAGCACTCAGTAGCAAAGTAAAGAAAACTGTCCTACACAAAAAGCATGAATAATCTAAACTGCATAACAATTTATTTGTAATCTGTCTGTTCTCATATTCCTGCTTTTGGGTACTTGTTGGTTACTGTTTATTCCCTTCACAGAATATGAATGTGTATGTTTGAGTTTTGGGTTTTTTTTTTTAACGTAAGAACATTTTTGTGGTAATGACTTTCATACTTGAAATACGTGGTGTGTGAAGACAACTTCCTTTTGTTTTAAATTTACTACCTAGTAATTTCATACTAGGACCCCTAGTTCTTCTGTTGTGAGAGAGAGTTGATAATAAATCCCTATTTCCTTTTTCTTCACCATTTAGTATTTTGTAAATTCGTAACACATCCCACCCCCCAACATCTCTCTCTCTTATTTTCTTTTTTCTTTTTTTCTTTTAACTGAATCGGTATACCCTCTTTAGTTCTCTTATGAGTAATCATGATTCTTGCCCTTCTCTAGTTCTTCTATATCCTTTTTGAGGTGTGGGGACCAAAACGGCACAGTATTCTAGGTGTGGACAAACTGGATTTATAAAGGGGAATAATGATACTTTCTGCTTTGTTTACAATTCCTTTCTTAATAATTCTTAATATTTTGTTTATCTTTATGATGACAGCTGAGCACTGAGCTGATCTTTCTAGCAAACTGTCTACAATGACTCCCAGATCTCCTTCCTGTTTTTTTGTTTTTTGGGGTTTTTTTTAAGACTTAATAACCAACAGGTGTAGACTCTACCAGTACAGTCATAATAGCTAAAAACATGTTCCCTTTTCCCAAACAATCTGGAGCCAGGTTGTCCAACTTGTAAGCCCCTGGGGGCTGCAAGTGGCGCAGGCTGTACTGGGTGTGCTGTGTGGATACACCATTCCCTTCCTTCCACAGTGGCTTCCCTGGGTGCTCCTCCCCAAGCTAATTGCAGCCAGTATAGTAGAAACTGCAAAACACTGACTGTCTGGAGATCTACAGACGCAGAGGGGAGGCTGTGGAGGGAAGAAAGCTCTTTAGAGCTGCTTTGTCACCTAAAGTTCTGTATGGTTCTGCTGTTACCTCAGGACATGTGATCTTTTCTGATTTTTTTTATTTGTAGGACTTTGAACATACAATTAAAGGCCCTGTTTTAACCTGGATGTATGATGCTTCAGTATTGATTGGAGGAAGGGGTTCTATTTTTTTAGTTTTGTTTGTTTTTATTTTAAAATTTGTTTCTCTCTTTCCTAGGCAGCACACAGCTGCATTTGTTCCTTCATCTGGAAGAATTTATTCTTTTGGTCTTGGAGGTAATGGCCAATTAGGCACAGGAACAACTAGTAATAGGAAAAGTCCTTTTACAGTAAAAGGAAACTGGCTTTCTTATAGTGAAGCCAGCAATCCACCAACCACAGGTAAGTGTGTGATGTTAAATGCTTACAGTTTTGACTTCTGTTCTGTGTGAATCTGCCTTGTGTGATTCTTCAGATGTAATCACCTGTGGTTTTATTTATCCCTTGATCAAGATTAGCTTTTATTTTCTCTAATGTTTTTCTTCCCTAGCACTCCTACATAGGCTTAAATCTGAAATAGAGGATTCCATTTTGGTATGGCCTTGGTGAAGTTGTGATGCTTGTTTAATTCCTTGAGCAGGAACAGTGAATACTAGCGAAGCTAAAGTTTCAGGCAGTTGCTAGTGTTCCTAAAATATTGTGTTTTGAAGACTTTCCCTGAGCTAAAGCAGATGATGGAGAAATACCAGCTGTTCATGCAGCAGTCAGATGTGTCATCTCATGTGTCATGTCAGAGATTTTTGTAATAACCGCATTTTATTTTAATTACAGACAATGAACAATATTATTGTGTAAAACGAATTTTCTCTGGTGGAGACCAAAGTTTTGCTCATTACTTTAATCCACAGGTAATAATATAAAAAGGCTCTTTCTCTTTTGGCATCCATACTGTATGAAAACATTTAAGAAACATACTTTATAGCAAGTAGTAATACCTGTTATTTATTGATTAATTTGGCTTCATCTTTACATGGGGTTTAGGAACCTATCCGTGTGAAGTGTCTGGGTTCTACTGTGTTACAGTAATTTAGTCTGTCTGAAATATCTAATATTAAACTTGAAGCTACCTAAACGGGGCTCTGCCACGCTTGTTTTCTAGCAAGCCTGTAATACTTTCCCAGAACACAGATGTACAAATAAGGGCTTTTCATTATACAGAAGTTACTGTGAAGTAAGCTAACTAGTCTGCAGCTTTTAAACAGCACTTTCCCCCAAGCTGCTTGTCAGTGGCAGCTGAACAAGCTTTGGGGCATCACAGCCTGACATGGGCTTGCCAGGTGTCTGGGTGGGTAAAAATTGTACCTCTGCTTCTCTGTTCCTGGGGGGCTGCCCAAAGTCTCTAAGGCTTTTAAACAATGCTTTCCCCCAGGCCACTGGTCCATTTCATTCTATTCCTGGCAACTGATGTGGAGACTTCGGATAGTCCTCCAGAGCATCCAGCATCCTGGGAAACCAGAGGCAGGAGTACACTCTGTATGCCCATACCCTTCTCTCCAAATCAGCCTGGAATGCCCCCAAAGCCTAGTCCGATACCAGGTATGGAATTAAATTGATAAGCAGCTTGGTGGGGAAAATGCTGCTTAAAAGCTGTGGAGTCTGTGGGCAGACCCCAGAATACTCATCTCTCTGAGAACCTAAAAGCAGAAGTTCAGGCACCACACTGCTACCTGTCTACCCATAAGGAAAGCCTTCTTAAGTACCCAGCCCCCTGGAAAAGGAAAAGAAGGGGTCCAGATAGCCCCTCCCAACCAAGTGGCCCATACCTTCACCCACAAATCAGTCTCTGATGTACCAGACACTGGTGCATTGCCAGGAATTGAAGTAACTTGAGTGGATTGGGAGAAAGTGCTCTTTAGAAGCCACAAAAGCTCTGGTAGTCCCAGGGGTGTAGGTTGTAGCCTGTTGGTCTAAGGACATAGGCAGACAAGGTTCTTTGGGTGAATCTCTGATATCTTTTATTAGACCAACTTAAATAGATGGAAAAAAAAAATTAAACAAGCTTTCGGGTTCAAAAACCCTTCGTCAGGCTAAGGAAGTTTCAGCAGTTGTGTGCTCTTCCTGGATGGAATGAAAAGTAAAGAAGCCAGAGCCTGGGCTGGTATGCATACAAGATAGGCAGTCAGTGAAGATGTAGATTGAGGAGTCAGTGGGTGAGACAGGCTGGGTGTGGGGGAGAGAAGTTGGATGAATAGAGAGATACCTGAGGAGTCAGATGTCAGGCAGGCTATAACATGTCATAAATCCAATGTCTATATTTAGTCCATGATTTTTAGTATCCAGGAGGTTAAAACTTTTTTCCCCAATTATTTACATTGGTCTAATAAAAGATATCAGATTCACCCAGAGAACTTGTCTGGTAGTCCCAATCACTCAGCTGTCAGGAACCCAGAAACAGGGGTGTAGGAGCCCCCTCCCATGCACACAAATGCCTGGGCATCCGCAGTCGGAATACAACAACACAAATTTTTGTTAACAGCA